GGGGAGAAAAAAGAAAAATGAGTTAGCTTTTAGGCAGTGCTTGATTCTTTTGGTTACAGTATGACAAGAGTAACCAGGAGAAAAGAAGTGTTTAAATTTCAGAAACTGTATTACTTTACAGGAAACATGTCAGAAAACCTGGAACGTTATCTGAGCATATCAGAAAACCTAGAAAATTCTCTATTTATTTGAAACACAGATAAAATGTTTTGAAATACGCTATAAATTTATATGTAGTTCCACTTTAAGAAGCAGAAACACTACCTTTTTATTATCATCACAGCCAAGAGAAACAAGTTCTAATTTTACAGTTCCAGTATCAACAAATTAAAACCAATTCCCCAGCATGCTTAAGAACAAGGGACAACGGCACCAACCCTCTGCATTGCCCATGCTCACCGAAACACAAAGCTAGCAGTGAAAAGAGCAGAGATTTCTTAGGGCTGTTTTTGCTAATCCAAGCTTTGTATTTTTAAATTTCTTGAAGTAAAAGGAAAGGCAGCTGTCACTTAATGCCCGCAGTAGCAACAAGCGTGAAAGCATTTTACAAGTCTCGTTCTTAAGATGCGCAGTAGAAGTTTTGGGGACACAACAAGGTGTAGAGCGACAGTGTTCACCAGGATAAAAGGGGATTATGCATATGAAGAAGAGAAACGGGTTTAGGGCAGAACTTAGTTCCTGAAGTGAACGAAACTCCTTTCATAAGCAGAAGGCCTTTTATCACTAGAATTAGGAAGCAGGACAGTGTTGGCAGAAGTTCAGTCTGACAGAAGGAGCTTTTCAATCCCTCCACCATGCCCTATGCCGCTATTGCCTGCTCAGGCTCCAATTTGGAAGTCCCCACCATTATTCGTCAAAGATTGACAAGTGGAGACTGCAGCTTCAGTTCTTTGCAGTTGCATTCCTAGACAGTAACCAGCAGCCCTTTGGTATGTTTTGTCAGACTACATCTACTTGAAAGATTTCACAGTTTTAAGAAATTAATTTGCCTGGCACTTCAGAAGACCTCTATCAGACATTTTCTCCAATTTGTTGTTTCAAAGTAACTATTCTTCAAGCACCATCCTTACCTTAAGCAGATTGCTTATGAAAGCTGGGTATTTCAAACCATGTTCAAGCGAAGCTGCTTCAATCCTAGTGATCCAGAGCTAAAAGTGTAAAAATTAACATCTTGGATAATAAAATACTTTAAAAGTAAACCTCTTGTCATGCTGATCTGCTCACACTTAGTAAACATAACATTTTCAGACCTACAGTCTTCTCAGTGCAACATATACGTGTATAAACTTCAGAACGTGAGCTGTTTCAGACCACAGAGGGACTATGCTTACTTTAAACTCCTATTTTTCACCCACTGGTAAAACATTTTGAGAGAACCCCCCCAGTAAGGAAAATGGCTATTTCGGTTCTGCTCTTCTCCCATTTTAATGGTTACATCTAACATTTTGCACTTTACCGCTCTTAGGAATCTCTTCTTCTCTCTTCTGGCCTTTGTGGACTTCACAAAAGCTCTCCGAACACTTCGTACAGCCAGCTTATAGCAGCGGTTCTTCCTTCCACGAAAATGCTGAAACGAAAACAAGATGTTCTTGTTCAGTTATCTTTAAGGCTGTTAAACCCTTCAGTAATACTAATACATGCTCATTTGCATTTCACAACTCTTCATAACAAGGATCACAAAATACTTCACAAACATCAGCTAAGCCTTCAGTTGGCATATAATGAAAATATTTTTTCCTTGTTTTATAGCATGGGAAACCTGAAGCTGAAAAGTTGAAGCGGGCTGAAAAATTTCAGTCCAGCAGGGAGCCAAAACCAGACCTCATTTTAGGCTGTGGTTCCAGGAGGAAGGCAACCACATAATCATGTGCAGTGCTTTCAGCCAGCCCCTAAACTCACGCATTTATTCTCATTCCTGAGCTGCCCTCTCGGTTTTGTCCGTACAAATACAGGGATGGGACAGGAGCCTCCAATATGTCAAAAACATTGCAGTTGCCCAAACCGAAAGCATGATGAAAGAAGTTTACTGAAGCTACCACTGACATCCATCTAACATGAAGTAGGAAGAAGTAGCAAGTGCTGCACAGTCAGAGAAATAAATAACTATTGCTGGTACTGTGGGCAGCTTAGGCACTACGGGAGCAAGATACTGTCACTTACTTCATTTTCCATTTCAACACTACAGCAAGATGTACTACCTCCCACCCTTGAAAAAGGTTCTTCCTGAGCCTAGGTACAATAGCTTGAACTTCAGCTGAAATCATGTTGTGAAGCAGTCTCCTTCACCTTTTAAAATGCACTTGAAGAGCAAGGTTAAAATCTTTTTGTTTTCCTGCTCCTTTGCCCAGTTAAAACAAACCAACCCAAACCAAACAACAAAAAAGCACAACCAACACCAGTCTAGAGCATGCTGTATTTGGACTGCCCTTCCCATAGCGTCTGTATTTCTTCCGCCACGGGGTTCTCGCTTTTATTCATACCCATCTACGTGCGCACATGTGCTGTGTTATAGCACAAATACCCGACGCGTTTACGGCCTCCAGCTTTAACCAAATACAGACAAATTTACATACACAGAAAATGCTACATTGACGTGAGTCAACTTCACGGACTCTGGACGTTTCTAAGAACAGGCGCCGTTATATTGCTCGCCGCCTGACTTCCCTCTGCTGGGGAAGGGCTTGCGGACACCTGAACAAGACGACAGGCCGCTCGCTCCCTAGAGCCGGGGAGGACGGGGCGCCTCCGGGAGGCGGCCGAGGAAGGAGCTGCCGCCCGTGCTCCGGGGGC